AAGGTCATGATCTGCTGAAACTCATTGATTCACCACCACACAATGGAATTACCCAACCCTGGGACGCAGCAAAGCCCACCAGGCCATGTCTGGGCTAGTATTTTCCATTTTCCAGGCACATGGACTGAGGGTATAAAATAAGGGAAAGTGGCATGATGCAATTAGCTTTCCTTCCCCCACCTATGCTGAAGGCAAGAAGAACACTGGGAAGACAGACTTGAACTGAGGAGACTGGTCCCAGGCTGGAAAGAAAAGCCTGTGTATTAAGGACTGTAACTTACCTGCAACATCCAGTGGGGTGAGAAAAACTGTTTGATCCAAATATTGCTAGCCTAAAAAGGTTTAGAATTTAGACTGTATGTTTGCCTTTTATTTCCTTTAGTAACTATCTCTGACTTTTATGCCTACCACTTATAATCACTTAAAATCTATCTTTCTGTAGTTATCTTAATCAGTAAGTTTGTCTGAAGTGCTTGGGGAATCTGCTCAGGTTACAAAGGCTGGTGCACTTCCACTTTCCTTTGATGAAGTGGCGAAATAGTTAATAAGCTTGCACTGGTCAAGAGAAGGGCTTGAGCTGTGCAACACAGTATATTCCTGGGGTGGAAGGCTGAGGTCCTGGGGGGTTTGCTGGTGTTTCCCTGTGTATAGTTCATGAGAATATTCATGCAATTTAACTGGGTGTGCCTCTGCATGCTGGTAGCTGAGTGATAACAGCTGCTAGGAGGGTTAGATGCTTGTCACTGGCAAAGCGTTGAAAGAGACAGCCCAGGCTGGAGAGAAAAGGGACACAGTGGTCTCAGAATTCCAGGTTGTACCTCGGGAGTCCTGTCACATACATGTTGGTGAAATCATTAATCATGAAATAAGTTAATGTCAAGTGATATCAATTGGGCATACTTGAACTAAATAGATGCAAAATATCTTAATGCATGAGAAAAAACAGGTCCATTAAGCAAAGTCTCCAATTAAGCAAATTCCTTTAACAATGTATAGTAGAAAGATTTCAGTAAATTGTCTGAAGTTATAGCACAGAACTTTTGAATGCCCAGGCAAGATAGTGACTACAAGGTGAATTTTCAGAGTGTTGAATAGAAGGGTTAAGTGGTGTAATTTCCATTAACATTCACTTATTGGGTCTTCAGAAATTTCTAAACCATTTGGGGTAAGCGTTTAATGCAGTGGACAAGGATTTATCAATACATCCCCTAACATAGTGAAAATGGTCTTGTTGTGTGCAACAGCAACTTTCACGGGTGTTTCTTAGAAAATGTGTTTATGACTTTGATATTCATTCCTCACTGGCAGACAATTTAATCTTTTCCCTTTGTAGTTCATAGGTCAGTCTTACTAAGTACAAAGATATACTTCTTTCTCATTCATAGAGTGCTTTGGGATCCTTGGATGGAAGCTGCTACTGTAAGTGTATAGTACAGGGGTTCTCAAACTGGGAGTCATGAGGTTATTATTACATGGGGGGAGGTGGGGTTGTGAGCTGTCAGCCTCGACCCCAAACCCTGCTTTTCCTACAACATTTATAATGGTGTTAAATATATAAAAATGTGTTATTAATTTATAAGGGGGCTGGGGGGCAGGGGAAGGTCGCACACAGAGGCTTGCTATGGGAAAGGGGTCACCAGTACAAAAGTTTGAGAACCACTGGCATAGTATTTGTTGTTAGATTATGTTGTAACAATCTGCCTAGGGTGGATGTGTACTACTGGGTTACCTAGATGAAATCAGAAATGGTCAAATGTGCATCATAAACCCATATCACTATCAGGTATCAGAAATTCTCCTCTTGCTCAAGTGATAGGGCCTTTGCCTTTGGAGGAAGATTTGAAAACTATTCTGCTGCTGTGAAGATGCAGGTGAGCAGCACAGCGACAACTCTGTTGCCCTACCTGGCCAGAGGTTTATTACATCAAAGTTTCTCAAGTTGTGGTATATGGAACATTTGTTATTGGTCTTTGAAGCATTTACTTGTCATATAATGCGGGATGCTGCTCATTTCCAGCTGTTAATTGTACTGAGTCAGCTAACACTCCATTAAATATTGTCCCACTGTTACTGTTCCATGTAAGGTTTCAGAGGAACAGCCGTGTTAGTCTGTATTCGCAAAAAGAAAAGGAGTACTTGTGGCACCTTAGAGACTAACCAATTTATTTGAGCATGAGCTTTCGTGAGCTACAGCTCACTTCATCAGATGCATACCGTGGAAACTGCAGCAGACTTTATATATACACAGAGAATATGAAACAATACCTCCTCCCACCCCACTGTCCTGCTGGTAATAGCTTATCTAAAGTGATCAACAGGTGGGCCATTTCCAGCACAAATCCAGGTTTTCTCACCCTCACCCCCCCACACAAATTCACTCTCCTGCTGGTGCTAGCCCATCCAAAGTGACAACTCTTTACATAATCAAGTCGGGCTATTTCCTGCATAAATCCAGGTTTTCTCACATCCCCCCCACCCCCATACACACACAAACTCACTCTCCTGCTGGTAATAGCTCATCCAAACTGACTACTCTCCAAGTTTAAATCCAAGTTAAACCAGAACATCTGGGGGGGGGGGGTAGGAAAAAACAAGAGGAAACAGGCTACCTTGCATAGACTCCCTCCTCAGGCCCTACGCTACCAGCACTCCCAGCTACCTTCGAGACACCACTGACTTCCTGAGGAAACTTCAATCCATCGGTGATCTTCCTGATAACACCATCCTGGCTACTATGGATGTAGAAGCCCTCTACACCAACATTCCACACAAAGATGGACTACAAGCCGTCAAGAACACTATCCCCGATAATGTCACGGCTAACCTGGTGGCTGAACTTTGTGACTTTGTCCTTACCCATAACTATTTCACATTTGGGGACAATGTATACCTTCAGATCAGCGGCACTGCTATGGGTACCCGCATGGCCCCACAGTATGCCAACATTTTTATGGCTGATTTAGAACAACGCTTCCTCAGCTCTCGTCCCCTAAAGCCCCTACTCTACTTGCGCTATATTGATGACATCTTCATCATCTGGACCCATGGAAAAGAAGCCCTTGAGGAATTCCACCATGATTTCAACAATTTCCATCCCACCACCAACCTCAGCCTGGTCCAGTCCACACAAGAGATCCACTTCCTGGACACTACAGTGCTAATAAACAATGGCCACATAAACACCACCCTATACCGGAAACCTACTGACCGCTATTCCTACCTGCATGCCTCCAGCTTTCACCCTGACCACACCACACGATCCATCGTCTACAGCCAAGCTCTGCGATACAACCGCATTTGCTCCAACCCCTCAGACAGAGACAAACACCTACAAGATCTCTGTCAAGCTTTCTTACAACTACAATACCCACCTGCAGAAGTAAAGAAACAGATTGATAGAGCCAGAAGAGTTCCCAGAAGTTACCTACTACAGGACAGGCCTAACAAAGAAAATAACAGAACGCCACTAGCGGTCACCTTCAGCCCCCAACTAAAACCCCTCCAACGCATTATTAAGGATCTACAACCTATCCTAAAGGATGACCCAACACTCTCACAAGTCTTGGGAGACAGGCCAGTCCTTGCCTACAGACAGCCCCGCAACCTGAAGCAAATACTCACCAACAACCACATACCACACAACAGAACCACTAACCCAGGAACTTATCCTTGCAACAAAGCCCGTTGCCAATTGTGCCCACATATCTATTCAGGGGACACCATCACAGGGCCTAATAACATCAGCCACACTATCAGAGGCTCGTTCACCTGCACATCCACCAATGTGATATATGCCATCATGTGCCAGCAATGCCCCTCTGCCATGTACATTGGTCAAACTGGACAGTCTCTACGTAAAAGAATAAATGGACACAAATCAGATGTCAAGAATTATAACATTCATAAACCAGTCGGAGAACACTTCAATCTCTCTGGTCACGCAATCACAGACATGAAGGTCGCTATCTTAAAACAAAAAAACTTCAAATCCAGACTCCAGCGAGAAACTGCTGAATTGGAATTCATTTGCAAATTGGATACTATTAATTTAGGCTTAAATAGAGACTGGGAGTGGCTAAGTCATTATGCAAGGTAGCCTGTTTCCTCTTGTTTTTTCCTACCCCCCCCCCCCCAGATGTTCTGGTTTAACTTGGATTTAAACTTGGAGAGTAGTCAGTTTGGATGAGCTATTACCAGCAGGAGAGTGAGTTTGTGTGTGTATGGGGGTGGGGGGGATGTGAGAAAACCTGGATTTATGCAGGAAATAGCCCAACTTGATTATGTAAAGAGTGGTCACTTTGGATGGGCTAGCACCAGCAGGAGAGTGAATTTGTGTGGGGGGGTGGAGGGTGAGAAAACCTGGATTTGTGCTGGAAATGGCCCACCTGTTGATCACTTTAGATAAGCTATTACCAGCAGGACAGTGGGGTGGGAGGAGGTATTGTTTCATATTCTCTGTGTATATATAAAGTCTGCTGCAGTTTCCACGGTATGCATCCGATGAAGTGAGCTGTAGCTCACGAAAGCTCATGCTCAAATAAATTGGTTAGTCTCTAAGGTGCCACAAGTACTCCTTTTCTTTTTGTTCCATGTAACCAATTGCTGTAGTTATCAGAGAGGATGTGAATGATTATAAATAGGAAGGCAGGTGACCCACAAGACAATCTCTGTATTAAAATATGAGGCACGATGGATATTTTGAGACCATCTGGTGTTTAATTGCATTGCATGTTTATAACTTGAAACTGAGTGTCTGAATCCCTTGTTTGCAAACTGGTTATTGATACACTGTCCAAAAGACAGTGCTGGATGTCACAGAGCACATTCAAAGCCAGGGTCGCTGCCCTGAGGACCTTTCAGCCTCATTAACTTGTAACGAATGTCCAGGAGAGCTTGTCTGTTACTGGGGAGAACGGTACCTGCTGGCTCATTTGATGCTCGGGCTCGATTGCAGGAGCCTCCCGCAGCGGCCTGTCCTAGCTCCCCCGCAGCTCTCAGTTCCAGCAGCTGAGCAGCCCCACCGCCAGAGACCCCGGAGCAGGAACTGCCCCGGAAGCCGAGCTGCGACGGAGCCGGGCCCTTGGGGATCCACGTCCACCCCCTCCCCGGGGTCACCCGAGCTCTAGCCCTGTTATTACCGAGGCGGGGCTGAGCCGCCCAGTGCGCCCCCCCGGTTTGGGGTGGGCTCAGCACTGGGACTCCAGCTCCGTCCCCACTTTGGGGCTGGCTGGAGCCGCATCTGTCTGCCGTTGGGCCGGACCCTTTCGTCTCCCCGGGCTGGTCCCTCCTTGCTCGGCAGAAGGGCGAGGGCCCCAGGCAGGGCGCAGGGCCCCGGCCAGCCTGCGGAGCCCCAGCCCAGTGGGCGGGCCGGGAGCGTGAGGCAGGGCCAGCGGCAGCTGCTCGGGCCGGGCGCAGGCGCTGCGGCCTGTTCCCCTTCGGGAAGCGGGCTCCGACCCGCGACGCTCCGTCCATGAGCTGCGAGGTGCGTAGCCTGCACCCGGGCCGGCCGGCCGGCGGGTGTTTACACGGCACCGCCGTGGGAACGGGGCAGGGACAGCGGCCTGCGTGCGCAGCAGCCCCGCTCCGGGGCAAGGCAGGCGGCCGGAAACGAGCCGCGGCGGGGCTCGCTTCCCGCCCCCTCGGGAGAGCCGCTCTGCCGTGCCCGCTCCGTGCCGCGGGGCAGCCCCTTCGCTCAGGGCGTGCTGGTGTTCGCCGGGCTCGGCGGTCGGGTGACCACGGGACACTTGGTAACCTGGACACCCCCCACGCGCACCGTTCAGTCTGTTGCTGGAGTCACAAGAACACGGGCCACCTCCTTAAGGGCCCCCCAGTGCGGTAACCAGTTGCAGCCGGGCCTAATTAATCATGGAAGGGCTTGGGGAGCCTGGGCTGCAGTCACTGTAATGAGCTCTCCCGGTTATCGTGCCTGAAACGAGATCCCCGGCCTTGCATGTGATTAAAAATAATAATAATAATAAAAAAAATCGTAACGCTTAATCTGCAGTATGCTTCCTCGGATGATGTTGATGCGTTTGGGGGCCCATTTCCTGCGCTAGAAATACCCACTGAGGAGACAGGAGCTGAAGGGTGTGTAATCGGAATGGTGATTTGTTTTTTAACAGGTTGTTGCGCTGTACTTTGCCAGGAGCGCTGAATTGGCAGGTGTTCGCTCTGAGATTATTTCTGTACCGCAACAATTAACCTCTCTACAGCTGTGGGAAGAAATTGTTAAAAGGCATCCAAGGTAGTTTTAGAGCATGCTTCTGGTGCTCCTCAAGTCTGGGGGGTTTTAAAGTGTTAACAGAGTTACAAATGTAATATAGTGAAATTAACATGTGTGTGTCAGTTTTTCAGTATAATAAAAATAGTGAAATCTGTTCTACATTTTGCTACTTGTGATCTTATTTGTTCTACAAATATGTTCAAAAGAGCATTTCACTGATTTTTTGCATTAAACTGGCTGGCATTAGTAGTAGCCCCTAAGCTTGTAACTGAAAGGCTATAATTAAATATTAGAGAGGATCTTGCCTAAAATGAAACAAAATTGGGTTTTTGTGGTAGCAGTAGCAAGTAATCAAACTGGAATGTATTTTACCATATAGCCTATTACTGGATTGGTTACTAAAACCTACGGACTTAGGCCACAAAATGATCAGTAGTTTGCAAGTTTTATTCTCTTTATGAAAAGCAAATCAAATTATGTTTTACAGTCGCAAATTGTGCAAAGCTCTTGAAGATGTTACATAACCTACCCTGACTTGGGTGGAAAATGAAATTGTGTGTTGCCTTTCTGTCAGCAGTCACCACTGGCTTCTAACCAGGTCACTAACACCTTGATAGTCTTACTTGCCCCGTTGGTACATCTACTTGCTTCTGGGCAATAGTATTTCCCCCCATCTGTGCTATACGCTTAAGCAATGTATAATTCCTTTCTTATGATTGTTTTTACCTTTTCTAAACAAAGCTTCAGCACTCTCTTCTACTGCATGCATGTTATCTTCCCTATCCACTGTATATAATCTATTTTTTATTTTGCTTGAAATAACCAGCTCAATTCCTATCTTTAGAAATTGTATTGGTTTGGTTCACCACTGGCCCTTGCCCATGAAAAGATAATCATCAAGTCCAAGGGTATACAGTTGTTTGTTGTGATTTTTTTTTTAAAGAAAACAGTACAAATGCAGATGCATAAGTTGTAATCTTTCTGACTTCAGCTTCCCTGTGCTATGCACCAGTCAGTTGTTCACATTTAACTGAGAATTCATGCAAACACTTTACTTAAATGTATTTATGCTACTGCTAATCCTCCTCAGACTTGCTGCCATTCAGGATCAAGTGGTCTTTGCTGTTCGCCAGGAATACGTGCTTCTTGGTGATCAGCTTGTGGTCCTGCAGTCAGGTGACGAGGTTGCTATTATCCCACCTATCAGCGGGGGCTAACTCCAGGCAAAGACGCTTGGGTATGTATAGCTTCTTTTTGTAAATGGCCTCTGGGGGTTGATCATGCATTGAAACATTGCTGGAATTCTCTTTTTAGTTTTCGTCTCTGTTTAGGGTCTAGTGATTTGTGGATGACTTTCCCCTTCTACTGGAACTCTGTGAGCGGGTGTAACGTGCATCCCCTGCAGTAGACAGCTGTGATGTTGACACTAAGATGTAAGTTGGCGCAGGAATAAATGATTAATGTATTTGCAATGGATTGGAAAAAGCTTTCAAAATACTTTGGGCTAGATTCACACAGGGAGTTGGTTGCCTGGACAAATCACTGGGATTTGCAAAACCTGAGTTTGGCATTCAGGCTTCCCGGACAATGAGTGACAGGAAATAGGCAGCTAAGAGTGGGATTCACAAAAGCCAGCACACTAGGCAGGGAGTGGCATGAACTAGCCAATAGGCGATGCCAAGGAAAAGAATGTGTCCTAAGCCCGACCCCTCTTAAGGAGTTGGGTGCCTCCTTCTGTTTGGGATTCTCAGCTGTGAACCCTCTCTGAGTTAGGCACCAAAGGTGGTGGTGAAGGACCATCTCCCCCATAATTTTTGGCCCAGTAGTGAGGGTACATCCCTGGGATGTGGAAGACCCCTGGTTCAAGTTGCCACTCTGCCTGAGAGGGGAGAAAGGATTTGAACAGGGATCTGCCACCTCTCAGGTGAGGGCCCTAACCATTGAACTATGGGATGTTTTTGAAATAGGTCTCCCTCAGTCTTTTGTGTTAGTATTGGAGCAGGAGGACTGGATCCTGTGTCCCCTACATCACGGATGAGTGCTCTAACCACCAGGCTATAGAGTCATTCACTCTCTCTCTCTGGCCCACTGACTAACTCATTATTTATCCACAATGGAACAGCTTTAATGGGAGAGACTAAGAGAGGCCCATATCAGACTATCCCATAGCCTAGTAGCACTCACTGGAGAGGTGACAGATTCCTCTTCAAATCCCTTCTTCCCTCAGGTAGACGGTGCTCTACATCCCAGTTGAGTACCCTAATCACTGGCCACAAGTTAGGAGGGAGGTCCACCACACCACCCCCTGCTTTGTGTGGCGTTAACCATGGTCAGAGCATACCTATGGGATTATCCCCACAAATGAGTTAGGAGGAGGAATGCCTATCTTCCATTGCTTTGTGCATCATACTGGGGCTTAGGTGTCCAGCTACCTAGAGTGAGGCAATAGTGTACATGCTCAGAAGCCAAAAAATAGGCTCCCTGGAAACTTTAAATGCAAACACTTAGGTGCTATGGAAGGTTGGGTACCTATGGGGTTTGGCAGCAGCTAAGCAGGAGTTTTGTGAAGACTAGTGGTGCCTAAGTCCCTTTGCTAATGTGGCCCTTTAATTGTTGTATTTTTTAAGATCTTTTCATGCTTTTATAGTTGTTGGCTTTCAGTAGAGGTGCCAATCCTCATGGTTGGCTAATATCACACTGAAAAGAAACCTTTTTTACTTTGACTTTTTAAAATTAAGATGCTAGAGAGATGATTTAAAGCAATTTTGAAATATAAAATTATCGTTTTCCTCTTTTTCTGCTAAAAGAACCTCTCTCCTTTCAGACTAACAAATGTATTTGGGCATAAGCTTTTGTGGGCTACAACCCACTTCATCAGATGCATGGAGTGGAAAATACAGGAGCAGGTATAAAATACATGAAAAATGTGAGTTGCCTTGCCAAGTGTGAGGTCAGTCTAATGAGACAATTCAATTGACAGCAGGATGCCAAGGGAGGAAAAATAACGTTTGAAGTGGAAATGCGTGTCCCATTTCAGACAGTTGACAAGAAGGTGTGAGTAACAGTAGGGGGAAATTAGTATTGGGGAAATTAGGTTTAGGTTTTATAATGACCCAGCCACTCCCAGTCTTTATTCAGGCCTAATCTGATGGTGCTCCCCTGGAGCAAATCAATCATTTGGATCAGTGCCCTAGTTTTTATTGTAATAAGATTCCTTGCCTTCTTCTAACTCCAGACAGTTTATAATTTGACATTCTTACTGTAGCCAGTCATACAATAGGACATGCTAGCACAAGGGTCTCTGCTAGCTGATCCCACTGCAGACAGGGCTCTAGAACTGGTATATTAAAACAAGGAGAGCCCCTGTACCTCTAGAAATTGCCAACAAGAAGTGCAATTAGTGTTCTCCCAGCAAAGGGGCTAAGAACTGATTCGGCATAGAGACTGACCTACTTTTTCATCTCTACTGGTGAGCCCTACAGCTGAAGCATGTTAGTGGGTGCCATACAATTGCTGGATAAATTCTGGCCTCACAGGTGTTTAAAAAGCAGCTTCCAAATGGCCAATGTAACTAGAAAAGTAACTCATTAAATCTTTGACTTTTGTAGCTTTCTGTTTCCTTCCAGTGAAGCCATGAATGAAAGTGAAGATGAGCCCAAAGATTTCATCAAACTGAACTGTGAAAAACTCTCTGCAGATGAAGTGTCAGAGCTGGTGATTTCTCCATGCTGCGGGGCTGTCTCTCTGTTCATAGGTGAGTTTAAGGCTCCTAAAATAAATCCATGGATGTGTATATCTATCAGTAAGTAGAGCACAGGTCACCTCATAAGTTCAACCTCATGCTTCTGAGGCTACTTAAAAAATAAGTCTCTGGGACAAACCAATAATGTTTAGCAAATTATGTATTAAACATTTCGAGCAAGATCATGGCCAGTCCTCATGCAATAAGGAATGAGGTCCTAAGGAGCCTCCTTACTGGTGTGGTCAGCCTAGAATTGTAGCCCCTATATTTGGGGGAGCACAGGGACTGCTAGTTGCTCCCCTGGAGCAACTTACCCAAAAGGAGATGGGGAATAGATAGAACTATGGTTCTGTAAACTCCATGTGCTGATCACCAGGGCTGTCCCTTCACCATGCTCCAGAGTAGGGCTGCGGTTAAATGCCACAGTGTAGCCCATATGCAACTTACCTCTTCATAAAATAGTATCTGAAGAGATGAGACTTAATTCTAGCCTTGTGGTTAATATATCAGGACCTACATTTTCAGAACCCTTTGTGCTCAGAGGTGAGTACCATTGTGTGCCTAAATTCCATACAGTTATTCGTGTTGTATGAGCAATTGCAGTGAGAACAGGCACAACTTTCTAAACATATAGGGCCAGATCTGTGCTAGTGAAGATGTTGCCATCTTGGTAACTCTAGCATGTAAAATCTGTGGGTTAAATTCTGTCCTTTTTATACATGAAGAATTGCTAAAGTACTAACAAAACGGTCACTTCCAGCTCATTGCAGTGAGCTGGTTAAACCTTTTCTAGAATGAGAAATAAGTAATTTGGACATTCTTAGATCATATGCTCTTTGGGACAGGGAGTATATTTTTGTTCTAGCACAATGGGGTCCTGACCCAGGACTGGAGCTCCCAGGTACTCTTGCAATAGAAATAAATAACATTTGTTTTTAGTAATTCATTTATTTTAGGTACTACAAGGAATAACTTTGAAGGGAAAAAGGTGATTCACTTAGAATATGAAGCATACTCATCAATGGCAGAAGCTGAAATAAAGAAAATCTGTAGAGATGTTAGACAGAAATGGCCTTCCATCAAACATATAGCAGTGCACCATAGACTTGGGTATGTATGGCCAAGATGTGTCTGTCTAAAGGTCAGTATGTTTGTACTTGCATATGGTGTGGGCAGGAACCTGCATATTCTCTGCTGCGAAACCTGCCACTGAATCCACCCCTTACTGAAAAATCGTGTTGCAGTGCCCGGTCACTTTAAAAAATCCGCCTCCAAAGAAACTTTCAAAACATGAACCAAGTACAAACCAGGGTGGTAATGGCTGCCTGAGTCTGCACGTAGCCTGAAACACACTGAAAATAAAACTAAGATTTATCTGAAGCTGCCACAGTGTTTCCAATCTCTTGCCCTGGGGTACCACAGAATCCAAGCCCTTCACTACAGAACTTAAGTCAAGTATACAAGGTCAAGAATACCTGGAACATCTTTGAAATAGGAGTTGCCAGGCATGCTCGCTGGGAGATCAAGGGCCTTTGCCAAGACTTGCAGATTACCCTTTTGTTGAGTTTAAAATGCAGATCCATTGGAAAGTAATGACATATGAATCTTACCAGGTCAGTCCTGTACTGGGATCTCCTGGAATGAGTGGGTAGATGCAGGTTTTGGTGCTAGTGGAGTCTGATTCAGGATCAGACTCTAATTTTGAGCATATCACAAATGGATGCCTCCCCACCTCTCAGCAAAGATTACCACTGTTCAGTAGTGCTAGGTTATGTCAAACTTCACTTATTTTTACAAAGTGTATTACACTAGATGAAAAATATCCTCATAATTTGAAACAGTCTTTACAAATTCAGTTTGGATGCAGAACTGTCCTATTAGCGGGCCAAACTTTCTGCCAGGTTCATGAGGAAATATGTTTGTAAAAGTGTAGGATTTAAACATCTGTTGCTGATTCAAGTTGAGTGGGTTTTGTTTGTTCAGAGTATAAGCTGTTTGAGACAAGGATGCTCATTTACTCTATGTTGTGTACAGTGTCTTGGTAGAATGGGGCCTAGCCATTGTTGAGGACTTTGGACTTAAGATTTACATTGCCTTACCATCTAATGTCCTATTTGTCTTTTCCTAGTTTAGTTCCAGTAACAGAAGCAAGTGTGATTGTAGCAGTCTCCTCTCCACACCGAGTGGCATCTCTTGAGGCTGTGCAATACTGCATCAATACTTTGAAAGCAACTGTTCCAATTTGGAAAAAGGTAAATTTAAGTATTGTAGCTTACAAAAAGTGCCACCTCTCTGTCTCTGGGGTCTGATAGTTGTATAAGCACTTAAAATTGTCAGCTATCCATTTCTGTGATTTGTATTGCAGAGGGATGTAAGGGACTGGGGTTACAGTCTGAGAAAGGATGATCAGTGCTTTGAGACAGGACAGGTTCTGGGTTCCAAATGTTCAGTTCTGAGGACTTGGCCCTTGAGTATCAGCTTCCAGTATTTTGGATGTTACGAACAATTGAAATATCCTCCTTTCTAAAATGAAGGTTCAATAGTTTAATATGGAATAATGTAGAAGGCAAATGCATTAAAACTTGATCTTCACGAGCAGTATATTTGCTGCAGCTTACACTTTCTTTCATGAGCTCTGTGCAGGTGGACAATGTACAGAACCCTACTAATCTGAGTGGGGAATCTGTATAGGCGTAGGTGTTTGCCTTCATGGAACTCATTGCAGAATCAGGGCCTGACACTGTGTGCATCTCAAGACAGTGTCCTCTCTGTGTCTACCAAACACTATGGAAACTGTACTGCAGATTAGCTGACTTTTTGTGTACTGGTTATATTTCTATGCAGCAGACTCCTGAAGCACTTCCCATTTTTTTTTTGTTTGCAGGAGATTTATGAGCAGGAATATTCTTGGAAAGAAAACAAGGAATGCTTTTGGGCAGATGTGGAAAAATAACTCCATCTCCAAAGTCACTATTAAAACTAACCCCTTCATTCTACAGTGGGCAACCTGCAGCCCATCAGGGTAATCAGCTGGCATGCTGTGAGACAGTATTTACATTGACTTTCCACAGGCATGGCTGCCCTCATCTCCCAGTGGCCGCAGTTTGCTGTTTCTAGCCACTGGGAGCTGTGGCCAGCATGTCCCTGGGGCCCATGCCGTTTCCCGTAGCTCCCATTGGCCGGGAACAGCAAACTATGGCCATTAAGAGCTTGTGCCTGTGGACATTCAATGTAAACACTGTCTCAGCCCGCCAGCGGATTACCCTGACAAGCTGCAGGTTGCCTACTGCTGCTCTACAGTAAATCTAACTAGTAAAAGCATATGCATTATAACAAACACTTCTGTCTAAGACAGAAGGTAATAGATTAAGTTCCCAAATAACTTTCATTTTTTGTAAAATCACCCAGCTGTGTAACTAGCTAGACTGTTTAAAACCATTTCCCCAAAAATTCTTAATTGAAAGGAGTCTAGTTTTATATACTATATGCTGCTTTAATACCTTTATTCTCACCTTGTGGGTTCACTGCCAGCATTAGAGATCACAATGTGACAATCAGCTTTGTGGTTTTTAATCTTAAAAATATCCTTAGTTGGCATTATGACTGCAAAGTCAACATAGCGGCTTTAAGATATTTTTGACACTTAAGTTGATTAAACATTTTTGGTACATGCAGAGAAAAATATAAATTATACCCAGAGTTACTAATGTGACTTGCCAGTAGCTTTGTTTCATAGAAATGTTTTTACTGTGTAGCTGATACTACAGGTTCATCACATTAAGGAAATTTAAAGCTCTTTATTGGACATGAGATCATACACAACTAATTTGCATTAGCAATAAAACAAACTTAACTGAACCTTAATAGATGTATCGAGGTGACTAGTTTTGAAGCAGCTTTTGCAGCTGTCTTATTCTATGGATTAAAAAAACCCAATAGTTGTTACAGATTAAAACAGTGTTAAGTCTCTGACTTGAACTTACAAATGCAAAAATATTTATTAGTTAGGAATAAAACTTCTCATCTTAACTAGTTGTTAAGAGGGCATTGTCATCTTGAAACAGTCAATTTTTAAGAAAATAGTTCAGTAGATTTAACAGGAGGAACTAATTAGTTAATGGGGCTACTCACATAAGTAAGGTTGCTCACACGTACAACTTGATATTTGTGTATGTATTGTAGTATTGTACAGTAGAGGTCTCAACTGAGATCAGAGCCCCAGTGTGCTCAGCCCTTACAAACCTAGTGAGTGATAGCTTCTGCCCCAGAGAATTTATAATCTTAAATAGAGCAGAGAAGGGGTGGAAAGGAAAAGCAGCACAGGGGTGGAGTGACTTGCCCAAGATTATACATTACATAACCCCTACTTGTTTCACTGTTTCCTCAGTAGCCCTGGCAACTGCACAAAGCAAAAACAAAGACAATTTTCTCTCTAATCTTTCACTCACAGTAATCTTTGGTGTTAATTTCAACTAGAGTAAGTTTTAAAACAAAATCAAAACCCAAAACTTCAAACAAAAGTGTGATTAAACTGGGTCCTTGTACTGCTTTTTGGTGTACTTCCTACTGATGGCAGTGGGACATCCCTGGGAAGAAGAGAAGCCACTCTTTGCATGTATGCATCTATTATGGGTGTCTAATGTGTCTATCACTTTGGTCCTTCTATTTAGGTAAGGCAGAGTAAGTTATGGACTGAATTTTCCTTGTTTGGCATGTGCGAGTGAAGAACTATGCTTTGCTGTATGGATTGTTCAGTGCTATCAGATCCATGAATAAAGATCACTTCTACAGAGATCAGTATTTGTTGGGAGTTTTTTAAATGCAATTATTATACCCAGTATTTCAAATTCTTGGCAGTAGTGGCTCCACCTGAATCTGTTTCCAGGGAGAGGCCCTGATTCTGGGATCAAGCAAAAAATGGGTATTACTTACAAAGAACTTTTGGACTAACGTGCCATCTCATTGGTAGTCTGTTAACCAGGCAGAACCAGTGTAGTGCTTATATGCTAGCATTAAAACAGAAAATGACATTGCAAAGTTGTATCTTCTCTGGGCCAGAGGCAACTTATGGAATCTATGGATTTCACTGGTGCTTCTTACCTGATCTGATGGAAGGAGAACAGAGTAATCACTCACATATCCCCATCATATAAGCAGCTGGAGAGAAGACTGCAGATTAAGGGGAATACTACCTTTCCCCCCAGTAACCAGGCATAAGAAAGGGGAGGCATGTTGTGTTAAACTGCTAAGATCACACCATCTTTTTGTGTCTGTCCTTCACAGCACAAGCATCACTTAATCTAAGCACTCTTTGAGAGACTTCTTAATTTGGAAATGTGTAATTTGGGTTTCTTCAGCTGGACTAGAAAATAGAAATGAAAAAGTTCCAAGAAAGCTTATACACATGTATTTAAAAGGTTATGGGAGTTACTGGAAGTTATAGTAGAGATAGAATGTTAAGATACTTGACCCATTCAAACATCATCTGAAGACCATTGAGAACTGCTCGATCCTTCCTTCACCTCTATCCTATAATATAGGAAAGGTACACCCAGCTAAACCAGCACAACTAGCATTAAATAGCGGCAATACTGTTCTATGCAGCAAATCAACAGCATTGGACATTAGGGTGATGTGCTTTAAAGATGTGCTAGAAACCAGAGCACTTCACTGCTGCAGGAGATCAGCAAGACAAATACTGGGCCTGAACAATGGAAGTAGCTGCAACTGTTAGTGCTCATTAAGATAATCAGATCTCCTGTTACAATATGTAACAACCCCTGACCCAGGCATTGTACCTAACATACTTTTTTTGTTTGCCTGTGATAGTATGCTGGTGAGATGGCTTTTCTACAGGAAAGTGCAAGGGCAGAGAGAACAACTTGTAGAACGCAGGAAACTATCACAGCATGGAAGTAAAGAATGGATTTGATGGCAGAACCCCTTAGAGAAAATTCTCACTTCTTGGCTTGCAATATTTGAGAGTAACCTGTGCTGTGACTGGATGATCACTTGTAGCTTAATATTTGAGCAACTTTTTAGTGTTGCTCTGTCCCTCATAGTATTTCATTATGTTTTCGAATGATGATTTTTAATCATCAATTGCATGCTGGGAGATTTACAAAGTAATGGATAGTGCAGTAATGTGGATCAAGATCTATCCAGTAGATGTCAGTAGAGAGACAGCTGCAGGTGGTAGTGTTATAGGATCAAAATGATCTTTTTAGAAGGAATTTTTAAAAGTCAGTTCTACATTCACCTTCCCTGCAGTCAGTGTGTTGTGAAATAGAATACAGATTAAATTATTTTAGAGAGTTTAAAAGTACCACCTCTTTCCAGTAGCTATCGTACCAGTTTGTGGTGTTACATACACATTTACCTACCTTTTGAATCTGCCCCCAATTTCTCTTGTTGTGTGAAAGAACACAAATAGTTATCAAATGCATATATTAAAAAAAATCTGAAAATTGAGGCTTTATTCTAAACCCTTTTAGTAATAGTAATCTTAGGGAGTTGCTTATCCCAATGGTAGGTTTAAAAAATTACATAAATGATTTTTAAATGTACTCATGTCCCTTTAAATATTTTGAACCCAGTTTTGTAAAGATCGTCAGAAGTTTTGATTTGAATGTACACAAACAGTGCTGCCTTTATTTTTGGTATTAAACTCACTCCAGTACATTAGTTGCTATGGCATTCTGTACCAAAGTGCAAAATATACAGACAGTAGAGGGCAGAAATGTCACCAGAGAAGATTTTAAATCTTAACTGCATTTCTCAGTGAGCACATCATTTTACAGTTCATTATGTTTAAAAGGTAATGAAACGGGGAAATTGTTAGCCTGATAAAAAGTAACCAACATATGTAGTATTTGGTGATGTTTGATCTTATTTACCTTTATTTTCATATGTTGCTCTTTCAAGTGCAAAAGTGGGCTGTAATACGAAGTAGGTGAGTGGAGGGTCTGAGGATCACTCAAAAGTCACTGTCAACTTGGAGGGGGAAGACCACAAACTGCTCCAAGATGGGAGGGCAAACCTGTTGTAATTTTAGAAGGGAGAGAACATGGGGGAACTAGCAACGTTGATATAGCTGCAGTGGTGCAACCCCCTAGTGTAGATGTGCTGCATCAGCGTGAACTGTGACTTACACCAGCACAACTGAGCTTAGCTGTGTTGCTGCACCAGTGGCTAAAACCTGTAAGGCCCAAGGCACAGCCTCTTAGTATCCTCAACTCCTGGTTGTCAGCACCTTGCAATATCATAACCCTAGGATTCTGCTACTGTAGCAAAGAAAAATGTTGTTGCCTTTTGTATAGTGGCATTTAGTAGAGCTTTTCACTCTTCAAGGCCCTGCTTTTCTTACTTATTCTGTATTCAGATTTGTAACATCAAAGCATTAGTATTTATCATTTGTACTACAGTAGTGCCTGGGGCTCTAGGGGCTCATTATGCCCATCACTGCACAAGCACATAACAGATGGTCTCTGCCCCGAAGAGTTTACAATCTCATTCTGAGTCCTCAATCTGATCTCTTGTATTAAATCTCTATCTCACATTCCCCACTGGCAGTGTCCAGTCTCCTACGAGTCTAATTTTTGAGATTTACAAAGGACTTTACTCATATCGTCTAAACCTCAGCCACTCTAATGCGGATCTTGCACCAGTTTCATACTGTGTAACTCTTTTGATTTCACTGGAGTTACTCCTGACTTCTGCTGTTGCAAGCAAGATTGGAATCAAAGCCCAGCACCACAAAACAACACATTAGAGATAAAACTTCTTTATAAGGTTTTAAAAACTTAACCCCAAACTGTTATACACAGTACAAAATATACATCACATTTCCAGCATTATTTCTGAGGCTATGCCCACCCGAAAGTGCAATAAAATGACTCTTTACAAAATGGAACTATTTATGTAATAAAAAATACACATAACAAAAACAACTAAACACAAACAAACCAACCCACCAAACTAGTAACATTAAATGGCTAAGTGAGAGATGCAAAACCCTACTTATGCTCTCCTTTCCTTGTAGTTTGAGAAGAGTACTACTTCTAGACTAGGTGAAAAATCCTAACGCCTGGGACAATGAAAAACCCAGTCAAGGCAAGTGAATGTAAATCACTCTCTGCCTACTCAATGAGTTAACTCACCTAAAACCCTGGATACACTCCTCTGCACATTCAGCTTGTGACTGACGATGAAAACTGGCTGCCTGCCTGGGTTCCATTACATGCACCACCAAAAGGTACAAGAAATGAAAGATTTTACCATCCACTGTATTGTTAAATTCCTCCTCTGGCTTTGAATGTGCATGATTAATTATGTATGAGGTTTTTGCAAGTACAGTATGGATGTAATTGTTTTTTTCAAGTTGTTAAAAAAAGAATTGAGGCAGGAGACCAATTTTTATCTTCAACCTTAGGTCACATATGCTAATCGATGCACCCAGGGTTTATAACTGCAAGTCAGAAGTTTGTTCTTTAAGGAATTGTTTAGAACACTAATTTTTAAAAACTCAATTTGGCCACAAACAACTGGCAGCAACTGTCTTTATCTGTCAGACAGTTGAGTTTGGGGATCCAGATTGTTTTTTAACATGTCACCAGAAAAAAATATAATATGAAAATATAAAAATCTTGTAGAACACACACACACACACGATAGCTGAATTGTTTTCAGTCTGTTATTCCAAATGGCACCTCTGACAGCCAGGGAAGTTGGTGGCTTGGCTGGCTACTGTTTACTGACTAAGACGACTTTGGGTAAAAACTTTCAAAAGTGTTAAGTGATTTAGGAGCCTAAGTCCAATTTTTGAAAGTGACTTGGGCCCTTAGGAGGCTACGGGTAAAAATTTCTAAAGGCTCTAAGTGATGTAGGAGCCTCAGTCACATTGATTTTCACATTCATAGAAGAGAGTGGTACTTTTAAAAATCTTTGCCTAAAGGCTAACTGAATATCAACAGGACTTAGACTCCTAAGTCTCTTTTGAAAATGGGATTTAGGTCCCTTAGACAATTATCTGAAGGGTGTAAAATTTTCAGACACCACCTTATTTCTCATCCAAAATATGTAAAGAAAAGCATATCACAACAGGTGATGTGCTTGTTGTGAGGTTAACTGCCTGTCATGAGAGTGAGGCAACCAAAAGTTCAATTATCTCAGCCCACAATCCTGGTGTGGGCTCTTCCTTTAATATGGAGATTCTTAGCTTTTCAAACCTAAAATTTGAAGATTTTGTTTTAAAGCAAAGGGTATATCACATAAGGTCACTTAAATAGAAAAATGTTATGTAAATTAAAAAGCATAACATAAGGCCACCTGAATAAGAGTTCCTTTTTAACTCTTAAAATTTTTCTTTCGAAAGTCTACAGTATTTTAAATTGTACAAAACATAAGTTACTTATAAAAGTTCTTTAGCTATATAAGAACAAACAGCATGCGACAGTCATGCTGCTTAATGCACCACTGAAAGGCACTCACTCAGATACTATGACGACGAGAGAGGTACAAGCACCAATATAGAACAGATCTTCCACTGTTCTTTGTCACACTAGCTCCACATTACTTAGCTTTTCCTGTGCCCCTATAATATACCAGACACTTTCTTTCATTCCTGCCTTATTGCCAGTTAGTGAACTAAGGCAAAATCTTGCATCTTCTTACTCATGCCCATAATCTGTGGGATTACTGCCATGAATAGGGATTATGAATCCAAATAAAAGTTTTCAGTTCAGTTTTGCTCTTTGGGCTACAGAAAAATGCCACGTAAATTTAAAGGTATTTTT